TGCTGACTTTTAGCTTCAAATCATCAGTAGCAACACCCGCTGATATTCTCTGACTGAGGAACAACCAGGCCAGCTCTTGGTTCTGAGTCTAGCTGGGCAACACAGGTGATGAATTCTCCTGCATCAGAAATATGTGGGGCTTGATGTTGAAGTCCTGGGCCTGTGGTCTATTTTATATTTCTGTTTCACTGGAACTTAGTGCATGTGCAGGGTTAAACTCTAGAATCAGGAAACTTTCCATGAACTTTCTTTACAGAGGCCTCCAGTAAGCATGTGAGGAATCACTAGACATGTATGCCTGTGAGTCATGGGTCTATACAGACAGCAGGAGTGCAATCGTTCTGGGCTCATTTTTCCTAAATGAAGCATATACACACTTGGCCCTTGTCTGTATTTGTGTGTGTGTGTGTGTGTGTGTGTGTGTGTGTGTGTGTGTGTGTGAATTTAGAGTCCAGAGACAAAAGGAAGTGATTGATCACAACCATTTGGCAGTGCCTACAGCCGTTGTCTGTCCAGACATTTATGATGAAAATGGCAGATGGAATAAGGTTTCTGTATATTTTGCCTAGTTTTGTTCAACCTACAAGAGCTGTAGTTAATTTTTTCTTTTCTTTTCTCTTTATCACTCACAAGTTTGGCTTCTACCAAACAAAATGAAAGACGTGAAAACTTTTGATAGAGTATTATGCGAATATTAGTTATTTAATAATGATACTACCGGTGTATAGCATTATTAGGACTATTAGTCACTATAGCATCCTACTGGCGTCTGCTTCAGGGACTCACCATGGTGGTGGGCAGGTTTGATATCGTGGCATTTCCCTTAGCAATATAATTATTCCCCCAGTACTCAGGTAATTTAAACATATATGCAACTAGTACATTGTGGTTACTGACCAATCAGACCAGACACTGATCAGTTTAACACAACAGTGAATAGGCTGAATAGCAGTCAGAGATCAGTGACCAAGTCTCCGCTGAGGTAAACCAATTAGACATTTACCTCATTTTATAGACGACTTGTGTGCCCTATCGGATTAACAAAATTTTCCAGGTCAGATACTTTCTGAGTGACATAGTCAAGTTCTCAACCTGAAATTCTTGGGCCTTTAGGTTTTTGTGGATTTATCTTCAGGGTCTGAGAGTCCTCCACCTTCATTTTTAAATGTTGTCATTCCTTGTGGGGGTAATCTTTAAAAGTTAATACAAGTGCCCTTCATTTTTAAATGTTGTCATTTTAAAATGTTGTCATTCCTTGTGGGGGTAATCTTTAAAAGTTAATACAAGTGCCCTTCATTTTTAAATGTTGTCATTTTAAAATGTTGTCATTCCTTGTGGGGGTAATCTTTAAAAGTTAATACAAGTGCCCTTCATTTTTAAATGTTGTCATTTTTAAATGTTGTCATTCCTTGTGGGAGTAATCTTTAAAAGTTAATACAAGTGCCCTTCTCTTCCGTATGACCACCTCGTATTTGAGTACCGCCACATAACTTCTGTGCTCACATCTGGGTGCCCACAGAAAGTGATGAACTTTACATTGCACTTTTAAATGTAGCATAGATTAGGGTCCATGGCTGGGGATTCTCAGGTTTCTTGTCAAGTGTCAGTGGTTAATCTGTTTGAAACCTGCTCCAATCCATCCTCTCAACCCTATAGACTCTGCTTCACCATCCCTCCCCTTAACTCTTCCAGCAGAGGGAACTCACACCACACACAGAGTCATGGGTTTGAGAGACCCTGTGGTCCAGCCTTCAGAATGTTAAACTTACCAAAGCCTCACAGCTGTTAGTGGAGGATTTGCAATCCTGTGTATCTCTTGCTTTGCAATCCTGCCATCTGGTTTCACCTGCGGACAGCTTTAATTTTCTTTTTCTCTGTTGGACTTGAACCTGCCCCCTTAGAATGTACTTAGAACCACGGGTGCTAAACTCTGGAGACATACCAAGCAAGGGTAACTGTCGTCTGGTGAGGTGTATGTTGTATGTGACAAGTTTTTTTTTAACTTTTTTCTGGTAGGGTCTGAGTCTTGTCAAAAGTCTGCAGTTTGCTCTTAAAGATGTGGTAAAAATATAGTGACATATTTTTATCTTTAAACAGAAACTAAATTTCTGAAAGTAGAACCCTTTTACAAAAGCAATAAGGGAATTTCCTGTTTAAAGAAAGATCCATTTGGCAATACAAACATCGTATTTAACATAACTTTTGCATGTATGAAAATTTAAAAGAGGGTTTTTCTATTAAAATTTTTAGATTATATTAAATTTTACTGTTTAAATTTATTTTTGAATAGGTGCTATCTTTACGTTGTTCGAAGATAAGAAAATATGAAAGGGTGTTCAAGAAACGTCTTGCCCCCATGTCTGTGCACTGCCTGCCCGGTCCTCTGTCCTCCTCGTCCCATAGATAATTTCAGGGTTTCTTAGTGCAAATGCAAATACAACAAAGAACAATATATGTGCATTTTAAAATAAGAATTTCTTGAAACAAAGTATATATTATATACTGTGAAACTCACATCTCTCATTTGGTCTTATTTAAAATGATGCTGTAAGATGCCTGGAAATACTGGTACAATTTTAGAATGGGAATAACTTTATGAGTTTTGTGACTGAGTACTTGTAAATAGTAGTAATTGCCTTACCAATAAATAAAGACATTTTTTTCCTTTTTACCTCTGAGTAGTGTCTTTGCTTTTACTTAATAATTTTTTTCTGCTTATATAGTGATATATGTTCATTGTAGAATATTGGGGAAATACAAGAACACACAAAGAAGAGTTCATTCGCTTGTAATTCTATTTTGGCATACACTTTCCCATTATTTCACTCTGCATTTGTCCCTGACCTTCCCCACCCCCTTTAAGTGAGCCCGACCTCCATGTCCGCTCAGTCACGAATCCAGTACGCTTTGTCATTACCAATATCTGTACTGCCACCCGAGTCTCAGCTTCAAGTGTGCCCCTCTCTGACAACCACCTCCTACAATTCCATCTCACTTCCTCTAGGACCCTCCCTTCAGCTGTCTTCAGCGCCACGGGGGCCTCTAGTCAGTCCACTGACCCTATGTGCCATCTTTCCAATGTCAACATCA